CTGTGCGGTATCCCGTGGGGCGTTTTCCAGACCCTATGAGCGTAAAGGCTACCGAAGTCTGTCCTGTTGCCCTACGGAGCTCTTTAACGACCTATGTCAATTTCTGCTGGGGTCTTGGTCAACTCCTTGGAATTGGAGTACTCCAGGCCATGCTAAGTCGACCTGATGAATGGTCGTACCGAATACCGTACGCATTGCAATGGATTTGGCCTGTCCCTCTTGCCCTCGTGATTTTAATGGCGCCAGAATCCCCGTGGTGGCTAGTGAGAAAAGGCAAGACGGAAGAAGCGAAACGCGCCCTCCTTCGTCTGACGAGTTTGAATCGAGAGACTGGCTTTGACGCGGACGAGACGATTTCCATGATTGTCCATACCACAGCGTTAGAACAGAAAATTACCAGTGGTGCCAGCTATCTTGACTGTTTCAAGGGAGTCGACTTGCGCCGGACAGAAATTGTTTGTATGATTTGGGCCATCCAGAATCTTAGTGGCAACTCGTTTTCAAACTACTCGACATACTTCCTCGAACAAGCCGGTGTGTCGACCACTCACGCATATACCTTCGCCATGGGACAATATGGAATTAACATGGTAGGCGTTTTGGGAGCGTGGTTTCTCATGTCACGCGGCATCGGCCGAAGGACCCTTTACATTCTCGGCCTGGGTGGTCTTTGTATTATTCTCTTCATAATGGGTTTCCTTGGATTCGTCCCTGAGGGCAACCGAGACCGAAGCTCGCTTGCCACTGGGTCTATGATGCTCATTTGGGCCCTGATCTACCAAGTCTCCGTCGGCACGGTCTGCTACTCTCTGGTGAGCGAGCTCTCGAGTCGGCGTCTACAAATCAAGACCGTCGTATTGGGAAGAATTTTTTACAATATAGCGGCTATCATCTGTAACGTGTTGACCCCATACATGTTGAACCCTAGCGCGTGGAATTGGGGTAACTTTGCGGGGTTTTTCTGGGGTGGTTCGTGCTTTTGTTGCGTCGTTTACACCTATTTCCGTGTTCCTGAACCCCGCGGTCGGTCCTTTGCGGAATTGGATATCCTCTTCGAGCGTGGCGTTAGTGCAAGGAATTTCTCTGGAACTGTGGTAGATGTCTTTGGAGAGAAGGAACAAACTGAAAATCTCAATGACTCTAGGAAAGGCCCAGTGGCACATTTTATTGAGCCACGAGACGAGAAGCGGACGCTGTTCTGATCAAGCAAGAGACTCTCATGTGTATATATAGGAAGTACTGAGAGGATCAAATTGAATTTTATATTGTCCTTGTTTTGCTCTTGATATATAATATTCGTCTCTTGCACTCTGCGTCGCTATTTTTGCCTTATTCACCCTCTTAGTATAGTTATGTACATATACCATTAAGTTTTATTGGAATATTTAACCAATTTTTTATTTTTTTTATTTTTTATTTTTTTATTTTTGGTTTTATCTTTTATTTTTACTTTTCTTGTCTTGAGAGAGGTTTTGAAATAGCCTCATGTATCTGTCCATCGCTTCGCTCTACGCATGAGGATAATACATCATAATAATAGCCTATTTGCAAAATGGTTACCCAATAACAGCGAAAGAAAATCACCCGAGAGCCATAGAAAGTTTCGCTCATATCCTCCTGGAAGGATTCAAAGAGTCAAGCCGAACCATGTCAGATGGTGCAACCTCCATCCATTCATGACAAGCATAGTCAAGTATGTCATCATTGATAAATTTTTAGTCAGAATCCAGCCACAGAAATAGTACGGAGTACTCCGTACCCTAATATAGATTCGAAATATGGAAGATAAAAGATGGGCGAGCTGCTGCCCTTTACAATCAATGAAGCATGAGCCGCGGGCGACGTAAATAGCAGACAATATAATAGAGATACTTGATAATAGATATGGCTTCCCACAGACGATTTGAACTGGCTGCTACAAGGCGCGATATTGTCACTATCAGTCCCACGTCCAACCGTTATGATAACTAAGCGAAAATATTTTTTCACATTGTCTCCTCATCCTCCTCCCCTACGAGCTGCGCAATCAAATATAAAAGGCAAGCCTGACGGCTAACTATCCTATAGACCCTCATAACAAGGGACAGGTCTCCTTTAGCCCCTTCCTCCTGGCAACATGCAAGCAAATACATGACGCAGCGACTCGGATCCTCTACGGGGAGAATGAATTCATCCTCCAGAACCTACCAGGCGATACAGAATGGCTCGATGAAATCGGGGCCCGTAACATCTCCATTCTGAAGCGCGTTCAGTTTTGTGTCAATGCGGGCCCAGTAATCATGACCGAGTTTGGCGGATTTGTGGTGGATGCGAGGAACAGCGCTTGCGCGCTCTGCTGCGTTGGTTTATCGAGGGATGCGAGGGCGCTGAGGTACCTTTCGGGTTCACTGGGGCAGGGATGGGTGAGAAGGGATTATGAGTGCTATGAATGGAATGAGGATGGTTTATTGGGATGCAACCCCAGATGGGGGTTGGGGGCGATGAGAGGCGGTTTC